CCGCCCGGCGTGCCCGGAAGGGCGTGGCTCGGGAACATGGCTGCGGCGGCCTGGCTGCGGCGGGCCGTGTGCCGCTCCGGTTGCGTGCTGCTCTTCCTTTCGCAGTTCTACATCTTGTCGGGCGGTGGTGAGTGCGAGCCGGGGTCCACGCTGGGCTGCGGGCCGAGTGGCGGGAGGGAGCACCCCCCCTCCCCCGCCAGCTGCCGGAAGTCGTGCTGAGGCGGCCGCGGGCCGGTGGCGAGGCGGAGGGCGGCGCGTGCTGGACGTCCTGTCCGAGTCCGAAAGGCCGGCCTCTCTTCTGAGACTCCCGCCTGCAAAGACCAGAGGACCGAGCGCTCGGGACCCGGCCGGGAAGCAGGACTGAATCCCGGTGCCGAAGAGCTAAATTGTTTACCCTGCTGGCGTTTCCCCCTGTAGTTTGATGAGCAGCCGAGCCGGGAGGCGTTCAATGCTAGCCTACTGTAGACCCTAAGTGTTAAGCTCAAATCCAGATTTTCTTAACCCCGGATAACGTGTTTCTCTAATTATAGGATCCTTAAATTTAGATTCGCAGCCGCTGGCTCAGTCAATAAAGGACCCGGGTCCGACTCGTACATTCACAGTAGTTCCCAGGGCAGCAGGTACTAGATGTTTTCTATTCTAGTAAATGTGCATATTTATATCTAGTGGTTTTAATTTGTCAAAATAAGATTTCTTTTAGTATTCAAAATCAATGTCCATTGTTTAACATATTATCATTTTTAGATTATGTGAAGTAAGGGCAGAAACACATTTTTTTTAGTTTTATTTGAATACTCTTTTTTAAAAAAATTAAAGGATCATTTTATTGGGGACCCTTACAGCTCTTATAATAATCCATACATCAGTTGCATCTTATTTGAATACCTTTTGACAATTCTGCTTCATTTCTTTTTGCAGCCCCACATCTTATTTGAATATCTTTTGACAATTCTGCTTCATATCTTTTTGCAGCCCCACAGCCCTAATTTCCATCTCCGTATTTCATGTTTCTATCATTTTACCCAATCCAGTCATCAAAATAACTTTCAACTAATGCTTCCATTCAGAAACTACCTTCTACTTCTTGAACCGTTTTCTTGGTGTTGGGTTTTAAAGGATCCCCAAGCATATGTGAAATGGAAGGCATGACATGGAGACCCACACACTTATGAGTTTAGATCTGATTGTTTTACAATGACCTTGAACAAATTACTCTCCCTTAGAACTTCAGTGTCCTTATCAGGTGATAGGGTTAGCCTGAATTTCTTTTTTTTTTTCTTTACCTGCACTATCAGCATTTTATAGACTTCGACTTTCTGAAGTAATTTTGTCTTTCTGATTCCAAGTTCCAGATACAGTAACGTGGCAGAAAATAAGGAGTTTTGTGGGATTGTTATCTGTGCAAAGCAAAGTGGAAAATGGGTAGATTTTTGACACTCTGTAACTGTTTGCTTCAAAAGTGTCTGGTTAAATACTAGCAAGTCAACTTACTCCATTTTCAAGGACAGGAATATTTTAATCTCGGGAAAAGAAGAAAGAGAATTATACATTTTATCTGAGGAGTAGATCTTCAGTGGCTGTAAACTTTGCCTTGCTAGAATTGGAGGCAGCACCAACCACAGGCATGGAAGTCCTTTATTTCATCGAGGCTTCTTTGGGGTTTCAACTTTTAGTCAGGCATTTCTATCTAGTTCTTGAACCTGAGGATTTTGTGTTAATACTTTTTATATACTGATTTATCAGGCTTACCCATTTAAAATACACTTACTCCTCACCAGCGCCACGTTTCACAATTACAACAATGGCAAAAGAAAAAAAATCGATCCACCTACTTTGTGCATTAATGAAGTACATCCAGCAGTAGAAAGTATCACTGGGTGTGTTGGTTAGGGTTGTAGGTTATCTTGGCTGAACCATGATTCTTTTGTTTGTCAGGTATATAATGAGTTAATACTATAATTGGGTCATTATATAATGATAATGATGAAATTATCCTCCATTTTCACATGAAGCTGATTTTCACATAATGACCTGGACTTTGGAACCTATAGTGTTGGTGAGAAGTAGGTATAATGACTTCAAGTTGGACCAGTTTTAAACAAGCATTAGTATATTTTGCTAAGTAGAGCCTTTGTTTTCATAGTTTCGTCCCTCCATGTTTCCATTATATCAATGAACTGAAAATAGAGGTATTGTTCAGGACATAGCAGATACTTGAGCGTAAAATGTAGATGATTTTATAGAAAATAATAAGAATTCTTGATTATTTTGGATGTCTGTGAAAACCCCATTTCCACTTTAAAACTATTCCCATTTTGGCTTTCTTAATTAGTGAAAATTATCATATACTTAGGTAGGCTAGTCGGGAGTGATTGCAACCCTGTGAACAGGTTATTAGTATAGAGACAGTTATTTTGATTAATATAAATGTTATACCAATGTGCAATTATGACAAAATTTTTTCCAAAGAGTGTATAATTAGAGAGTATCTGTGGCTTCATTTCCAAAATGGTGAATTAAGTGAAAAGAACCTAAGATAAGAAGTAAGGAAATAGTTCTGGTTCTGTTTTTGCCAGACTCCCTCTGTGATTCTGGAAAGATACCAACAACTCTCAGCTTTAGTTTTTCATCTTATAAAATGATAGTTGTTGTTTTCTGAGCCCATACCTGTACCCAGCATTATATAACATATATAATTCAATGGCATCCAGTCATTTCCTGCTCATAGTGACCCTATAGGACAGGGTGTGGGTTTACACGACTAACTTTCTGGGATGGTGGTTTCAAACTGCTGACCTTGCAGTCCAACTTGTAACCACTACAACACTAGGGTTGAGCACCTTTAATTTTCAAAGCCTTTGGGGACACTTATTAAGTATAAGATAGCTATGAGTTGGCATCAACTTGAAGGCAGTGAGTTTTTTTAACCAGTAAAGTGCTTGGCTCTTGAAGTGTTGCCCCAAGTTACACTGCTGACTGGCATCTGAATTCTCCTTTAGTTGCAGGTGCCTCAACTCCAACTCTGCATTTACCATTCTGGTACACTAGAGACTGATGGCTATATTTCTTCATAACAATAAAAAATGAGATAATGATAGACCTTCCTCCCATCAGGTTTCCATGTAACAAGGCAACTTTTTAACCATATTCCCCAGAACTATGTCATACAGTGAAGTTAATTTAAGCTCTCATAAAGGGTATGCACTTGGAGATACTAGAATAACCCAGTTGCAGTTTACTGCTCTTGTAAATTGGTCCCCAACAAAAAATAATACTGTGTTTTGAAGGTTACTGGAGCTATAACTCGTTATCTCTTGTGGTAGTGTGTGTGGATTTGAATCACACTGTAGGTACCCTTTAGTGAGGTACACCGGCTGCTATAACGGAGAAAGATGAGGCTGTTGACTCCCATAAAGATATATAGTCTTAGAAGCCCACAAGGGCAGTTCTATGTCTTCTTGAGTCTCTAGGAGTCAGAATTGACTTAACGATGAGTTTTATTTTTTGGTTTAACATTGCAGCAGGCTCTGGCATTGCACTTGTGTATAGTTACACTTAGTTATACTTAGTGACTAAGTGTGCAGAAGCCTGACCTCTCATTCACTGAGTATACTCCAGTTTAGAGTAGTATGTATAGAGCAACACACACACCTATGATTGTGAGAATGGCTCATGACGGGGTCACTGTGAGTCATAACCGCCTTGATAGCACCTAACAGCAGCAGCACCATCAGTGTGAGGTACCCATGGCTGTGGCTGCTGGGTCATTTTTGTATGCTGATGTTTGCTTCAGTTAACAAGTAAGGAACAGGCCTGGTTCCCTCCCACCATCATGATCCATGCAAGACAACAGGCACGCAGTTATATAAGTTCTCTTAACTCTGAATTATATTTTACATCTTTGAATCTTTTTTTTTTAAATCAGGTTTATTGAAGTATATATTACATACACGTTTTCCTCTCTTTAATGGATAGTTCTGACTTGGCACGTACATGCAGGCTGAAGCTGCCACCATAATCAAGATGAAATAGTTCTGTCATAGCTACTCCACCCCAGGTTGCCTTATGCCCCTTTGTAGTGACCACTGTCTCCATTCCCAGCGTCTGACAACCCCTTTTTGTGTGTGTGCCTATATTTTTGCCTTTTCCAGAATGACATATATTCTGTATATATTATATGTTATATTATATGTTCATATAAACAGTATGAACCTTTTAAACCAAAACCCAATGCCATTGGGTAGATATTGACTTAAAGTGACTTTGTATAGGGTTCTTAGGCTATAAATATTTCTGCTTGCAGTTTGCAGTACAGTGCTACCCAACCGCTACCAGGGCTCCTTTGGGGCCAGGCTTTATGAGACCCAGCCATGTTGCTTGGCTTTATAAGTTGCTATGGCTTTTCTCAAGACCCTGTTTCATATTTATATCTCACTTTTACTGCCATCAAGTTGTTGGACTCATAACAACCCTGTGGAACAGAGTGGAACTGCTCCTGTGGGGTTCTGAGAATGCAGATCTTTCTGTGAGTGCACAGCCTCATCTTTCTCCTGTGGAGCAGTTGGTGGTTTTGAGTTGCAGATCTTGCAGTTAGCAGCTCAACATGTAACCTACTAAGCCAACAGGGCTCCGTATTTATATATGCACCGTATATACTTGTGTATAAGCCAAGTTTTTCAGCACATTTTTTGTGCAGTTTTTGTGGTAAGATTAGGTGCCTCGGCTGATGGTCAGGTCGGCTTATACTCGAGTATGTATGGTACTTTATATATAACAGCTTCGCTGTTTTATAGGCATCTCAAAATTAATATATCTGAAATACAACTCTTCTGCACTTCCTCAATCAATCAATCATTTGATCAAATAGATAAAAATCACTATTGCATAATGTTGCTTGAATCAAAGTCATGATTCTTCAATTTTCATTAAATGTAAATAGCCACATTTTTCCTATGGCCAAAATTACTTTTTTAAGGCGTACATCTGATTAATCTACTCTCCTGTTCCACTTTGATGAAAACCCAGACTCTTTCTCCTGTTGAACTGCATGCGGTGGTGCTTGCCTACTTCTTTTTCCCACCTGTCCCCTTCTTACTTCAGTGCTGAATAGCCCTTTGAGCTCTTTCCTACCCAAAACCCTTCATTCTTCATCTTCTCTGGGCCTAGAACACTTTGCTTAGGTGAATATTTGTTACTGTTAGTTTTTAGGTTTATATACCATCACCTTAAAGAGTCCCCCTCTTCGATCCTATTGGCTGAAGCAGACATCTCCCCCATTGCTTTTTTCCTCTTCACTGTCCACTGTGAAATCCTTCATAGCACTTTTCACAATACAGTATGTGATAATTCACTTGTCTAGAGATAGGTCTTGTCTTTTTCATCACAACAGTTCCAGTGGAGCATAATAAGTACTTAGAAGTCTATGTGATGAAGAATAAAGGAGTCATATACTTGGAGCAGTAGCATTAATGACCCCACTAGTACTGTGTGGCCTCTCAGTGGCAAATCCTGTGTGCCTCTGCTTGGATATGGGACATCCTCCTGGGCATGGTCATTCCTTTCATTTTCTTATTTCTTTCTACCTATAGGGTCACCATGAGTTATAAGTAACTTGATGGCTGTGTTATTTTAGGGGCCCTGGTGGCATAGTGGGTTATGCGTTTTGCTGCTAACAACAAGACAGCAATTTGAATCCATCAGCCATTCCCAGAGAAATATTTGGCATTCTATTCCCATAAATAGTTACAGAAAATCACAGGGATGGGTCTGTCCTATCCTATAGGGTTGTTACGAATTGTAATTGACTTGATGGCAGTTTTTGGTTTTATAGGTTTGAGTAAGGATTTTAATGAAAGGGTGTTATTTTCCATTTTGTATTAAATAAAGTTCTCAAATCTCTCCCAGTTTACTGTAGATTTCCTTTTATTTTACAGTTATAGCTGTATTTTGAGGCAGTAGTGGGCCAATTCTTTTCTTTGCTGGTCAGTTGTCACACACCTAACCTCAGCATAGGCAGTCTCCCTTATATCTCATTGCTTATGACTGTGTTTCTTACAAATGATTATTTTCTTGTTATTCTGATCAGTAAGTAAGTATAGTATGAGAATAAGCTTCTCTCTCGCCTTGCATAGAAAGTACTGAAACCCCACCTTATGTGATGAAGTGCCCAAGCAATGGTTTGTGTAGCCGACTTCCAGCTGACTGTGCAGAGTGCAAGACAAATTTCTCCTGTGTGTATGGGAAGCCTGTCACTTTTGAATGCACAGTCAAGCCTTCTGTTACATGTGTTGTAAGTACTGCATCTTACTTATTTTAAATAATTACTCTTAAAACTACAGTTAAAAGTTTACAGTTTAGACTTGGTCATTGAGAGAAAATTATGAAAGTGATATTTTAGAAGTAAGTCAGCTTTATCAGACATTTTAAAATTCCATTTCAAAGCACTATTTGGGTGATAAATTGGAGTAATTAGCAGAAAAATTGGAAAATTTAAAAGCTCATTCCCATAAAAAATGGCCCTGTTATCATCACTCTTAAATCCAAGGCTTTTGTAGTCACTAGCCCTTAGAACAGCAGTTCTCTACCTGTGGGTCACGACCCCTTTGGGGGTCAAACGACCCTTTCACAGGGTACACCCAATTCATAACAGTAGCAAAATTACAGTTAGGAAGTAGCAACGAAAATGATTTTATGATTGGGGGGGTCAACACAACATGAGGAATTGTATTAAAGGGTTGTAGCATTAGAAGGTTGAGAATCACTGTCTTAGAAGCTAGACTGCAATTCCCATGGTCAGCAGTTCAAAACCACCAGTACCTCTGAGGGAGAAAGACTGGGCTTTCTACTCCTGTGAGCAGTTACAGGAGTAGAAATCTTGGAAATCCACAGGGGTTCACTATGAGTCAGCATTGGCTGTATGGCAGTGAGGTTTGTTTTTTATTCCTTAGAGCAGTGGTTCTCAATCTTCCCAATGCTGCGACCCTTTAATACCGTTTCTCATGTTGTGGTGACCCCCAACCATAAAATTATTTTTGTTGCTACTTCATAGCTGTAATTTTGCTACTGTTATGAATCGTAATGTAAATATCTGATATGCAGGCTGTATTTTCATTGTCACAAATTGAACATAATTAAAGTATAGTGATTAATCACAAAACAATATGTAATTATATATTGTGAAATATGTTTGTGTTTTCCGATGGTCTTAGGTGACCCCTGTGAAAGGGTCATTCAACCCCCAAAGGTCTTGCAACCCACAGGTTGAGAACCGCTGTCTTAGAGAGAGAGGGCTTGAGGGTACCAACTTCACAGCACCTTCGAGGTAGCCCCAGAGCTGCTAAATTGCGAAAATTGAGGACATCCAGCTAGCTCCAATTGTCTTTGAATTCTGTCCTAGAAACTCAGCAAGATAGAGTAGCAATGAGTACTGAAGGAGCATTTTACTCTGGTCATGCTGTAACTAGCTGGGTATGGGGGTTATTAATCTCTTATAAAACAAGTGGCTGCATCCAGATCAACTTTTCCTAAAGGTAGTCTATACAAGTATATATAAAGCAGGTATAATTTCTTTATATGGATTCTGTTCTTTTAGTAGTGACCGCTTTTTAATGAAGGATAGGCAACAAATCAGTCAATAATAGGGTGCCTATGGAGCTATATATATATATTGTTAAAAATCAATCCGTTTAGTTATCAGTAAATTTTAGGTGGATCTACGATTTAATGTGAAAGTGAATCCCTGTAGGACCAGAGACACAGTTATTAAAATAATCCCAAAGTTGGAACATTTTTCTAAATTTGTAATAAAAATTTTAAACCACAGAAAGAAGAATTGATAAGTTTGACTAGTAAAAATTAGGTTTTTAATGGGGTTAATAAAGCATAAAGACAAATGGCAAACTAGGAAAAAATATTTCTAACAAGTGACAAATACTGCCTTGATATCCATAATTAGTAAAGGTTTGAAGTAGATGAGAAATAATTGCAATCTGTAGGAAAATGGACATTGACATTCCATTGAAAAATGCCAGTTCTCTGGTATCAAAAGCTTATAGGCCAGCAGTTAACATCTCTTGTGAATTTTTCTTAGTAGATGGTAAGATCTGTGAGCTGCATGTTGGTTGACTGCCAGTGTTCATGGAAGTGGAAACAGCAGTAATCGTGCATGAGTGCTGGACCAGATGGTGATTAGAGATGTTACAAAAATTTAGGGCTCAGATTAGCATCAGGCTCATGGAAAAGGGATTTGAGTTCTACTCATAACTTGTAGTTCAGTCATCTTAAACAAATATACTCATTCCTTTCAGTTATTGGTGGTCCTGTGGATTACAAAAATAGTTTGTATGTGTGCTTTTAATTTTATTGAGCTATACTTAACATAAAATTCAGTCATACCAAGAACTGTGCAATCATTGCTAAATCAGCTTGGGAACCTTTTCTTCATGTGCTCATTGATGTTGACTCCCAATTTCTCCCACCCTCCTTGTCTTTGCCCTCAGGAAATCATTAATCCAGCTACTATTTTTTTAATTCCCCCAATCCCAGTTTCTCTGTAGAGATAAACATACAAAACAATGGAAAACTACAAACAAGGACCCACCAATAATGACCTTCTGAAACAGTTAAAGACATCAATCGAAGAGAAAGAAAAGAATATAAAAACAGAATAAATTCACATTGGGTCCAGAGGGAGATCAGATTACAAAATGATAATTTCTAGTCTCAAACTCACTACCATCTACTCATAGTGACCCTGTAAGACTGCCCCTTTGAATTTCCCAGACTCGGAAGCCCCTCTTTGTCCTGAGGAGTGGCTGGTATTTTCAAACTGTCTACCTTGTAGATAGCAGCCCAAATAACCCCTATACTACCTGGGCTCCACTGCAAACAAGTACAGCCGCTAAAATCTTCTTTATAATGTTCTTTGTCTGATAATAGGTTTGTTAATTTTCCTAGTCTCTGTGAATTGGGGATTTACCAGGGACTCAATCCACTTAGTGACCTTGCAAATGGATTTTGGGCTACCACTATCATCTGCATATTTGGTGTTTAGAATTTAGGCATTGGTACCATTCCCTCCCAGGTTTGGATCTTATTTACATCTTCTGTTGGGAACTTAGCTGACTCCTCACTTAGATGACTGCTTGTTTTGAGACAAGCCTTGAAGACCCCAGATTTTATTTCTCATGATAGTTTGGCATCATCTGATTTCTTGCTTGGCATCCATTACTTTAGTAGCCTCCTCATGAGGATAAATGCCATGCAAGGCCATATCATAAGAACTGGTTGTTCTTAGTTTATGCTTATAATCAAGCGAGAGCTCAAAATCATCCCAACTATTGTTTCTGTAAGTCCCTGTTTTCCTTTTGGAGATGTGATATTCTATTGTAATATATCATAAATCTTCCCCATGGGGTGTAAGGCATAATTACACTCTACTTGTAGTAACATTATTTTAGCCAGTGGCAAAGCATTGTTGAGCAAAGGGTTTTATACATGTGTAGAACTTCTTAGCAGCAGACTCTGATACGTCTTGTATACCTTCAAAATGTGGACACTGTTACATGCTGTGAGGATTGAAGATAAGGCAATACTTACCATAACACTTATATGAAGGCTGGATCATGCCTGGTAAACTTAACACATGTCACATAAATGTAGAGAGAGCCTGAAAACAGCAAATATATCTTGGTCTAAGCCTTCAACTCTAAGGTTACCATTCGTTGGGGTACCTTCAGAGCTTAGGTCCAAGCCCACCCAAAGTCCAGCAATTTCTTGATCTTTGGTTATTGATCTTATTCCACTATGGGAGTTTAGCTTAAAATTCAAGGAAGTATTTCCATTCCTTGGTTCTTTATAAGCTAATTTAAGATAAAGTCCCAGTTCTCCTGTTGGGGTTTCCAATTCAGGTCCTTCTGATGTGGTCTATGAAGGATGTAATGTACCTCAGCAAGGCAGAATCTAATGTATGTGTTATTTATAGTACCTTGCTTGGGTCATCAGGTTGGTTGGGAATGTGGTCAGAAGTGCCCAGTTAGCAATAATACTGGGCTTGTTTTTCCCTTAGAGTCTCTGTAAGCAAATTTACATATTTTTCTTAATGGCTGGGTACCGTACTCGGCTCACCTACAATCAGAAGTACAGTTGCCCCCATCAATACAGATATGACACTCCTCTTGATCTAATGTCCCAGTAAAGTTCACTAATTAGTAGGATTGCTTATTAATTTAAGGTGCCTGTAGAAAATTACTGTATGGAGGGAATTACTATTCTGTACACGGGAAACTGACTTCATGTGAGGCCACCCCTGGAGGTAGTTTTGTAATTGATTAACTTCATTCAACATCATAGTTTTCATGTCTCTCCAAGTCATAAGGTGTTTTGTGGTTTCATCACTATTTTTTCAGAGATGCATAGTATTTCATTGTGTGTATGTGCCATAGTTTCTTCATCCGTTCTTCAACTGATGACGTACCTTTGGGCTGTTTTCAGCTTCTTTCAATTGTGAACCTTGCTGCTGTCAACATGGGAGAGCATGTGTCTGTGTTTTTTTATTTCTTTTGGATATATGGCCAGCAGAGAGATTACTGGGTTGGATGATATTTCTATTCACAGTCATTTCAGGAAGTTCCATATCAGTTTCCACAGTGAATGTACACATTTATAATCCCACCAACAGTGTATGAATGAGAGTTCCAATCTCACCACACCCTTTCCAGCATTTGTTACTTGTGTTTTGTTTTGTTTTAATTGGGCTACTGTTGTGGGAGTAAGGTGATGGCTCATTGTTTTGGTTTGCATCTAGTGATCTTGAGCATTTCCTCATGTGTTTGTTAGTTATTCAAGTGTCTTCTCTGTTGAATTCTCTGTTCATGTCCTTTGTCCACCTTTTAAATGGGTTATTTACTTTCTTCTTGTGATGTTGAAGAATTCCATATGTTTTTGTGATTGGTCCCTTGTCTGTTGTGTTTTTGCTAGATGGTTTTTTCCCCAATCTGGGTTTCTCATTTTATTCTTTTTTGAAATCTGATCTGCATATAGTGTCTTATTTTTAATAAGCCCAAGGCATCTATTTTTGTGTGTGTTGTTTATGCTTCTTTTGTTATAGTTGGTGGTCTGTGTATGCCATACAGTAGGGCCCTTACGTTTGTCCCAAGTTTCTCTTAGAGCTGTGGGGGTTACATAGTAGGTCTTCAGTCCATTTTTGTGCATGGAGTGATGTATGAGTCCTGTTTCTTCTACAGACGTGGATCCAGTTTGTCCAGCACAAGTTGTTGAAGAGGGCATCTC